CCCCCCCCCCCCCCCCCCCGAGGTCCTGTGGAGGCACAGCAGCCAGCAATAACCCTGTGGTATGAAGTCAATCCTTGTTGCCTGGGCCACCGTACATGCAGAAACCAACTGCACAGGGTCAGTTCTGACTCAGAAATGGCCTCCACTAGGTTTCCTGGGCTATGAATCTCCACAGGAAGAGACTGTCCCATCTTTCTTCTGAGGAGCTGATGATGGGTTAGAAGTTTCAAACTTCGAGTTAGCAGCCCAATACTAAGCACAGATCCATACCCTCTCTAGTTTTCATAATATAAAATTGGGTATTGTTATTATGAATAAAGGACTAAGGCTCTAAGTAAAGGCAGTCGCTGGGAAGCAGATAAGGTAAAACTTGGGCCAGTTTGTGAATCCCTGCTGACCCATGCCACCCGCTGACTCAGGGATGGCAGCGTGGCACACATCTGAAAAGTCTGAGTCTGTGGTCCTCACCATCAGTGAGGTGGCACTGAAGTCACTACAATCTGAAAAGGGCTCTAACCCAAAGCATTTTTGGCAAAGACCTTTGGCAAGTCTTCAGAGAAGGCATGAGTGACACTTACTGGGAAAGATGGCTTCCAAGTTACAAGACACATGTAAATATCACCCACATGGCATTCAATGGGTCTAATGTAACTCCTCTGTCACCTCATTAGGTCAGATGTGTGATGGGGGAACATGTATGAAGATGTGTGAACACTGGACTGCCAACAGGACAAACCAGCCTGTTCATTTCACAGACTGTGACATACTATCAAGACAGGACAATCCCTAATGAAGGTCATCATGATTGATAGAGTAAAGGGCCAGCAAAAATAAGGAAGACCCCAATGAGATGGAAAAAGTAGCTGCAATAGCTGGTTTACGCACAGCTGAGGGCACGAGCATGGCGTAAGCTTAGGTAGGTTTTGTTCTGCGGCACAGAGGTCGCTGAGTGGGCACCTGACAACTGTGACAACAAGCAGTAGTAATCCTTGGTAGAGAGCCACAGGTTAGAGGCCTGTGCTTACCCAGAGCACTCTGGACATATGGGTCTACTTACTGGGAGCCAGCCACTGGGAGCACCACAGGGCACCTTACCCAGAGCACTCTGGACATATGGGTCTACTTACTGGGAGCCAGCCACTGGGAGCACCACAGGGCACAGTCCCCTATGACACACCTGGGCCAGTGTCGACCCAATGACCTGCAGTCACTTGCGAGGCACACTTGGGCCAGTTTCAAACCGATGGCCGGCGGTCACTGCCCTGCACTTGAAAGGTGCACCTGGGCCCGTGTCGACCTGATGGCCGGTGGTCACTGCTCTGCACCTGTGAGACGCACCTGTGTCAATGCTGACTCAATGGCCTGTGGCCACTGCTCAGCACTAGCACCCAGCATCTGCTCAGTGGAGGCATTTGTGGTCTCTTAAATGCCAAGAGCAAAGGCACACTCCCATTGCACGCTTGCCACAGGGTGAATTCTGAGAACCAGTTTGAAGATGAAGGATCAGAGGAGAGGAAGGGGGATCATGGCAGTTGCAGGGCAGTTTAAAGAGATGGAACCTTGAGCTTGCCCACAAAAGCCAGTCTAACATCTGGTGCAAATGTATTAAAAAAGGTGCAAAAGTTCTGCAAAGGCAATTAAGAGACACTTGAGTGTGTCAAGAGACTTTGAGGATGGCACAGGACAGGACAGGGTTCTCTGCTGTTCACAGGGTCATTAGGTGTTTTACTTGACTTGGTGGCATTTAACAACAACACTTAATGGGTGACAAGTTGCCACCTTACCATGTTTCTGGGTTAGGAAGAAGACCCAGAACAGCTCATTGGCCCTGTATGTGAGGAAGGACCTAGCCAACCACACTTACAGTGGCAGCTCCTGCTCACTGTGAGGTCCTCTGCCAGGCAGTCCGTGCCTGTCGCAAGGACAGAAAGGTCACAAGCTGAAGCAAAGCCATCCTGCATTCTCATGTTTTAAACTTTTAAAGAGTTTTAGCTTTTTGTTTCTAGATTTTCATCTTAGCACTCTGGGGGAGCTTAGGGAAGCTGGAGTCAGCCCTCCTGCCTCTAAGAGAAGTGTCTCACCAGCCTCATCCAGCAACTCCGCTATAGGTTGGGGCCAGAATTTCCATCCCTCCCAGTTCAGGCAAACCATGTGCTGAGATGAGGCTGTGCGTCCAGGGAGAACCTGTGCATTGCCTGGCAATTACTTCCCTGTGGCTGGGGCCTGGTCAAAAACAAGCAGGGCCCTGATGATTTCTGCTGAATACAAGGGAGAGCAATCCTCTGGGAAACAGCCAGAAGGAAGAAAATCCAGAAAGGGACATTCTCACTTCATGAAACAACCATGACAACAGACTCCCCCCATACCTCCTTGAGGCGCTTTACTGTTCCCTCTCCTCTCACACTAGTTTTAGAGCAGGGCTTTCTCACAAGGAGATAAAGGCACTTGGAAAATATTCTTTTTTTCTTTTCAATATTTTTAATGAACATTTACAGAGATTTTGGATTCACATCCATTCATTGCTGCACTTCTCTCCCGGAAAATATTTCAAAAACAATGTATTCAAATTTTGTAAATAAACGAGTATAAAAATACATTTAAAATTATTAAAAAAATAGTCTAGGACATTTTTATAGAGGAAGACATTCAGATGGCCAACAGACGCATGAAGAAATGCTCAAAATCATTGACAAGAAGAGAAATGCAAATGAAAACCACAAAGAGATACCATCTCACCCCAGTGGCACATAGGACAGCAAGCAATAAATGCTGGAGAGGATATGGTGAGGTAGTAATTCTCATACACTGGGGTTGTAAAATGGTGCAACCACTCTGGAAAGCAGTTTGGTGTTTTCTCAAAAAGCTGAACATAGAGATTCCATAGGATCCAGCTATTCCACTGCTAAGAATAGACCACCAAGGACATTAGGACTGAGACACAAAAAGAGATTTGCATACCAATGTTCACAGCAGCATTAATCACAATTGCAAGAATATGGAAACAGCCCAACTGTCCAACCACAATTGGATGGATTGAGAAATTTTGGTACATTCACATGGTGAAATACTACTATACAGCATTTTAGAGCAACGATTTTGAAAATTATTTCATAACTTGGGAGAGACTGGAGGGCATATGCTGAGTGAAGGAACTCAGTTTCATAAAGATAAATACTGCATAGGACCTTTATTGTAAAAACAAAAGGATAACTAGTAAAACATTATGGGGATCCAAGGGAGGCGAGGGGGAATTAGAAGGGAAAGGTTGGGTGGGCGGGGAATCAAA